AAAACTTGTGCCAAAGAACTTGTCACCTGATCAAAAGGGACTCTGTCAACTCATTTGCCAAGACCTGTTGGACCATTTGGAAAGAGAGCCTGATTTTTTGAGTCGAGTGATCACGGAAGATGAATCCTGGGTGTTTGACTATGATTTCGAGATGAAGAAACAAAGTTCAGAATGGCACACACCCAAGTCACCTTGCCCCAATAAAGCTTGAATGAGCAAATCAAAAGTCAAATCAATGATCACCGATTTTTTATTCACATGGAATTGTTCATAAGGAATTTGTACCTACTGGTGACACTGTGAATCAAAGATTTTATCTGGAAGTTCTTGATCACTTGATACAAAGAATGTTTCGCGTGCATCCTGAGTTTGGCTCAACTTGGATCCTTCAGTCACAGTGCTTTGGCTGTCAGAGAGTTTTTGGCTGAAAAACACATAATGGTGCTTTCCCATCCAACCTAAAGCCACAACTTGGCTCGTTGAAAATTTTTCATATTCCCAAAGATGGAAAGGACACTTGAATGTTCAACTCCTTGAAGACCCAGATATTTTATTTTTTTTGTAGCTTTGATCCTAGTTTTATACCGAAGATTGCAAGACCCATAACTATGCAGTTATCACCCAGAAGGATGCTCTGTATTTAGAGTTATTGGATCCTTCTTCCCAAGCTCAAGAAGCAGAGCTCCATGCTTTAGCAAAGCATGTGAGCCTATCAAAATAGTATACATTTATTAAGATATTAGAGAATTAGAGAGCTTTTGGGGTGGTGCATGATTTTGGTTCCATTTGAAGACCTAGAAGTTTTTAACTTTGGCAGGTAAACCAATCAAGCATGAAAAGTTAATTGATTGGCTGTCTTCAGCCTACCAGCTTCTTGCTGAGGTAGCCATATTAATATTAAAGCCACACATTGGAAGCAGATCAGGCAACTAAGAATCAGCCCTCGAAATTTCCACTTGTCCAATTGCATTTAGCGAGTAGGAATAAGGTGGGGGCAAGCAGCGCTGGGACTAGGGGTGTGTGGGAGGGGCAGCAGTGGGGGCAGTGACAAGCAGCGATCTCCCTGTATGGCTTTCAATGAAACAGCTGAAAGCCACGGGAGTGATTGGTCACAGCTTGTCACATGGTACAAGGCTGTTGTGAATAGCCTTGTACCATGGGACCTCTGTGATCATTCACAGATTTCACACGTAGTAAGCAATGATGTCAGAAGTGACACCTTGCTTACAACTCTGCATGTGATCACTCCTTGGCCAATCAGTAATCACATGATCGGGACCTCGCAGAGAGGTCCCGTATGACGGTCGGTGTTGCACTGTGTCCGGAGAACACAGTGGGCACCGGATCGTGGTGCTGCATGCTCCCAGGGAGAACGCACAAGCAGGGGGCGGGGAGGCCATTTATAAATGGCAACCAGACCCTGCACTGCCACCGTCCAGCCATTTATATACAACGGCTGGACGGGAGGTGGTTAATAGAGCCACCATGCACATGTTGTACATTAAATGGTGTGCCAACCACCTCCGAATGATTGAGTTCAGATTATTCGAGTAAAGGCAATTGCGTATTCCCAACCTTGTGGCAGCAGACTGGAGAAGGCCTTTTTCTATTCCATCACAAATGTGCTCCTGTGCATAAATCTATAAAGATATGGTATGATGAGTTTTGTGAAGAGGAATTTTAAAAATGAACCCTAACCTCAGTCCTAATGGTTAGCTTTGGGGTGAAGTGGAATGCTGATTGCAAGCCAGGTCTTTTCATACAACATCAGTAGCTGATGTCAAAAATTCTCTTTCGGCTGAATGAGCACAATGTCCCACAGACACACTCCAAAATATTGTGGAATGCCTACCCAGAAATGTGAAGACTGTTACGGCCACAACAGGGGGTAAATCCATACAAATTTCTATGGTATAGTAATGAAATATCCACTAATAGGTGTTATGGTCAGTTGTCCACAAAAAGAGTGGGAACCCTTTATAATGGCCACAGCTGGTGTGCCGACCCAAGAGCTCAAGTGGAGATGTCTAACCAATAGAGTACAGGTGACATAGGTGCCTTAACTCTCCAGTATCTACAATATGAAAAAAATGTGAGTTTGAGTAGACTGACCATTTAATTAGTCCTCCAATATTGAAAATAACACCTTATAACTTTGCAGTAGACAGCTCAATATATTTGTGTGTCCATATGAGACAAAACTGCGTCAACCTTTCTCCGCTTTGTGTTTAGTGTTATTGTTGTGAAGCAGATGACTATGCCCTGGAATTACTTTGCTTGGCCAAAAGCGGCTGCCTTCTCAAACAAGGTGCATTGGTATAAATATGTTAAGAATGTGAATGCAAACACAGTCATAATCTTATTATGTTTGTTTAAGCATTTCCTTTTACATATTGCTTTGCAATAATGCTGAATGTCTCCTGCATTACCTGTAAACGTTATACTTGGCTTGCCTGGAAACACATTCCACAAGGTAATGAATAGGTACAATGCTTAGCAAGGATTCTAAGAAGCAGGATATTTTCAATAAAGGTTCTGTGCAATTTGCACCAGTACAAATACTGGTATAACCTTTTAATTGCATAATGGTACAACCGTTTACTAGCATTGTACATAATACAACGTGTAATTAGCATTTATGCAGTTTAGAGAATGTACTTAAAAAGGAATTCTTTAAAGCAGAAAGTCTGGAAAAAAACATGTAACGGGCCCCTGCAGTGGGGCTGTGCCAGCACTGGACTGCACAGGTCAAATGCTTGTTTTACGCTAGGGGAGAGGACACAAAAGATATACTTTCGACCCACCGATCCTCCCTCCACAAGATCAGTCATTTGGGCTCCCCCCCGCAGTCCAGTGGTCTTGTAAATGGACTGTTCCTCAAGGCATGCTCCGCAGATAGGAACAGTCCACTGCTGGACTGTGGGGGAGTGTGGCTTTCTGTAGGATCAGTGGGCCAAGTGAGTATGAGCTTAATTCTCACCCCTAGAAAAAACTATCAACCGCACTTTATAGTTACCTGTTTTTTTCTGCAATCCAAAAACATATTGGTAGGTTGGATTATGTTATCCCAAATTGATGATTGAAATGTGGTATACGTTTGATGCCAGCCACACACCTACAATCTGATAGTACAATCTCCTCTTGATCTGAAAACAACTATGCTGTCATGGTGGGAGTTTGCCCTCCTATGTTGCCAGATAAATATAGGCCTTAATAAGGGCTGAGGGACAATTTCTAAGAATATGTAAAAAAGTGCAGCGCTAAAAAGAAAAAAAAAAATAATACTAATAATACCAATAATAAAAATATACTATATATATATATATATATACAGTATATATATATATATATATATATATATATGTATATTGCGGAAAGGCAAAGTGCAACAATAAAAGTGCAAAAAACATTAGTAAATGCGAAATCTAAAAGTCAAACAATATGGTAACATGCATCATAATTGTAATGAGCTGAGTGAAACAGTAAAGTGCATGAAGTAAAAGCATGAAAATATCAGCTAAACAGCTCAAAAACAAATGCCAAACAATAAAGTATCATGGGCAGAATCCAAATATTATTATTATTATACAGTATTTAGAAAGCGCCAACAGTTCGCTCAGCGCTGTACATTACAATGGGAGACAGAACATGCGACAGTACAATAACAATACAATGCGATACACGAGGGGTTCGAGGGCCCTGCTCCTTGGAGCTTACATACAATAATGTCCGTGGTGATCCGCGAAGTAAAGTGCAGTAGTATATGATGTTACAATAAACATAAAATCTGAGATATATAAATAGGATAAAACTCTACATCAATGTCCGTGGTTAAACGTGCTATTTATATAGTCAGATATCTATAAATGGTAGCAATTGTCCGTGAAACTATAAGGCGCAGTATAATTAAGATGCAGAGTGCAAATGTGCTGATGATCACACAAAAGAATCCACCACCTCTCTCGGATGTACACTCACCAGATGAAAACTGGTAACAGGCAATCAAGCATTAAACATCTGAGCATGGAAGGTGGCCAAAGTGTTAAATCGGACCAAATTTGTCCTGGACAATCAAATGGGAAATCAGCCCTTGTCCTAGAGGGAATAGCTCACCACAGGAGCCAATAAAGTTGCATATAGTGCAGTATTTATTGGAACATTAAAAAGTATCCACGTGGAGACAGAAATCAAAAAGCATAAAAAGTGTACCAAGAGGTCCACTGCTCCAACCATCGGCAGTGGCGGCGTGATGACAGCAAATGGCGGCTCCACCCAATGCGTTTAGTGCGCATGCACGTCCTCAGGGATTCTGTTACAATATCTAAGAAACCACATGGAGTTTATCAATAAACCCCCCCCCTTCCCCAAGGGATTATGGGTTTGTTGCACACAGCTCCCTGGTTGCAAGCCTTGAATACACCAGCACAGGCAACAGCTGACAGCAATGAGACGAGGTATAGGATGCAGAGAAGATATATTGTTCTAGAAAGTTGTCCTCAAGCATCAGGCCCTGGCCTGCTGCTAGACTTCTCCCTCCTTTCAGCCATGACGCGGCTTCTTGTCTCCTCCTACTCCTGTAATTTCTGCATAAGAATATAAATCCTCAGAGTTGGGGGAGCCAGCCATTCCTAAGTAGGGATCATTTGGGTTTGGTCCGAACTTGGTCCAAACCCAATTTGGCAGACCCATGGGAAGCTCTCATATGACTGCATCCCATCCCCTTACCTGGCCTGCCTGCAGTCCATACCTTTCACCAACTGAAAATATTAGGTGCATCTTGAAAAGAAACATGCAACAAAGAAGATCCAGGACTGTTTAGCCACTTAGAATCCTATATAAGGCAAAAATGCTACAGCATTTCTCTCCCAAATCTTCAGCAACTGGTCTCAGTTCCCAGAAATTTACAGAGTGTTGTTAAGAGGAGGGGATGCTACACCATGGTAAACATCACGCTGTCCCAACTTTTTTGAGATGTATTGCTGCCATCATTTTGCAAATGACCTTATGTTTTCTTTAACACCTTTCTGCCCCTCCCTATAGCAGATTGACAGCCAAGCGGGACACTCCTCGTTGTGACTGGGCGTCATATAACATCCTGTCAAAACGAGCCACTCACACGGCTGTGGGGCCACGCAGTGGCGCAATCTGTCACCGTCTGTGTCCATGGGACACAGCCGATAACATATCACTACACCTATCTGTTGCCAGTGTCATGTGACTGCTGTGACAAATCAAAGCAGATCACATGTCAGTTGTATACAATGGATGGCTTCCTGTCATGCCATCCATTGTATACAATTATGCTGTTACCTGTGACTGGTCAAATACATATCACTACACCTACCCGTTGCCAGTGTCATGTGACTGCTGTGACCAATCACAGCAGATCACATGTCAATTGTATACAATGGATGGCTTCCTGTCATGCCATCCATTGTATACAATTATGCTGTTAGCTGTGATTGGTCAAAGGAGTCACATGATACAGACAGGGCCAATCACAGCCCATCTGTATCATGTGATGAGCTTTGCCCAGTCACAGCTAATCACAACAGAAGACAGAATGAATCAGTTTCATTCAGTAACAATGATTGCAAATATCAATGACATACAGTACATTGGTATTAGCAATCATAATGTGTTAAAAAAAAAAAGAAATTCTGCCTAGAGTAGTTCAATGTTACTATGGTATCATTGTATTGCTTTGATCACAGTGTGTTGAAAAAAAAAAATTGTTAATAAAAAGAAAAATGAATGTAATAAAAAATAAAAACAAAATTGAAAAATTAGATAAAAAAATTAAATTATTATTATTATTTTAAGTATCTCTGATCACCTCCACATCAGTTATATAATAATGCTGTACTGGACTGGTGACAATATGTTAGAAAAAAAAAAATTGTGATTTTTTTTTTTTTAATTTCTACATTTTCCAAAAAAAGTAACAAAAAATTACAACTTCCAAAAAACTCACCATGCCTCTTACTAAATACCTTGAACTGTCTATTTTGCAAAAATGGGTGATTTGGGGGGTATTTGTACTATCTTGGGGGAGGGGGCAAAGCAGGCAGTGAGGGAGGATTATCCGGAGCTAGCTGCCATCCTCTTTGCAAGGCTGCTCCGATTCTCCACCCACTTGACATTCTCCTCACTTTTGACAATAAGCAAGAGAGAATGAGTGGCCATGATCACACAGAGCCGTTCATTCATCCATCCTGACGGCACACATCATGTATTAGAGTGCCCCCACTGTGGATGAAGGAGCACAGGGGGTACCTTTGGACAGCAACATTGTCAGTGTGGGTGGAAGGATGTGTTAGATGATGTACTAGCAGATGTAGATACACTAACAAATTGAAGACAAACTTCAGCTAACTTTATAAGCAGTTACAGCAACAGTTGTATTCTCTTTTGGGATAAAGGTTTTCCATTAATAAATAAAAGCTGATCATTGTAAGCACCCCTGTCAGTGGTAAATGGTTTGTCTCAACCCTTTAACTGATACAATCTGCAAGAGAGCTTGTTTTTTTTTAAAAAAGCAACAGACTTACTGGCTAGATTCACATACTTTTGTTGCATGAGTACAACCTGTTTATTTACTTTTGGGGTATAGAAGGTTTTGAATGAATTTACTGGGCCCTGGTCTCATTAAGATTGAGAACCACTGATCTAGACAAGTGAGAGGGTTAGTGGCGAACAGGAAATCCTAAAGCAAGAAAATGGGCTTCAAGCAGCAGCCAGGAATCGTTCAGGCCAAGTCTTCAATGGGAATCAGAAACAGGATCAGAAGATCAAAAGCAAGGTCAAAAGAACTGCCTGTGGACAATATCTCAGAGAGGCTGGGGTGGCTATTTGGCTGCACAAGATCAAATTTGTAATGTACAGCGCTGAGCGAACCATTGGCGCTTTATAAATACTGTATAATAATATGTGGATAAATGGTCCTGTCTATGTTATAACTTGGATAGCAGGGAACAGTGTCTATGCTACCAGTTTGGGACAAAATGGGCAGGAGGATGCAGAGTGACAGAAAAAGGAAGCAATAATACCTTTTCTCCGCAGATATAACATGGCGAGCCATTGGTTTTGCTTCATCTCAAGGTAACACATCCAGTGGCTTTTCATTCTGTAAATAAATAGTCTCTCTTTACCTGCAATAGTTGATCTGTAGTCTTTCAAAAATTCCTTACTTTGTTTACTGTTGTTATCTTGACTCTTCTCATTGCTGGTGAAGCCTTTTAGCATATTGATGAAATCTGAGTAATTCTTTAGAACTGCCTGGTGGGATGTGAGATTATTACCCTGCAAAAGAAAAGGGAAGTTTTAGACTGGCTGTGTTATGTACCATAACCTCATTCCATTCCTGGTATGCATTTCTGATCGTTGAGCTTGTGTCACAGTCCATGAATGTACAGCACCTTGTGCTGCATACTCTCTTTACATTGCAATGTGGAGATTGAGCTGCCGTGTTTAAGTCTCACATTGTTGAAAACTTCCCTGTACACTTATATATTATCTTTGATTAAAAATCAAAATACATACAGTAAATCAGTGCATAACTACAGGTCATGCGACCAAACAGCACAAACAAAGAAAGAGCAACTTGCTCTGTTCAATGCAGGCAGTGCCAGGGGGATAGATATCCAACCAGACCCTGCTTCCATAATTCCAGCCCAAAGTCACGAGGAAGAGACCTGGATGCAAGGAGGAAACTGTTCAAGACCTCTGCAGCACTGAGCTAAGTTAAAATCAGACTCCCACAGACCACCAGCAAATAGGGGCACACTGAGCAGCAACAAAATGGGCAGTATACTGAGCAGCAACAAAAGGGGGCACACTGAATAGTGTCAAAAAGGTATTTACATGTAGTCTTACCTGTGAAGGAGCCACTGATTTCTCCTTCCTCCATTTCCATGAGCACTAGGGTATGAGTCGCATTCTGATCAGTTCTGAGATCTATGATGGACTTGCTCTTCTGATCAAGCAGTCCCAGTGATTTCTACTGCTACACTAAACTCTTGGTGCCCATTCTCCTCCACACACCACTGGGTGGTGTCCGCGGCATCCATTTTAACAGTTTCATTTTCTGGCTCATTGTCTTCTTGTCTCACTTGTAAATTAAAAGGATCCCGGACAAGCCCCCACATATAGTGCCACCCCTGAAGGAGTCGCTGATTTAGACGGGTCCTCTGATGCTAACCTTGACCTTCCTAAAGCCTTCAGCCTCTCTGACACACCTGGCTGAGTTCACAAGGAGATCAACAACAGTACTTTAATACTCAGCAGTAATGCTATCTCACAGGATTAGACACCAACACAGTGATCTTAAACCTTGTTTATTGGAGACTAATAAGGCTTATACAAATAACAGGCATGAAGGATTAGAGTACACCGTAATAAACAAAATAAGGTAGTGTATTAAGTATGAAATACAAAACAGAGTGCAAAAAAATATATAAACAATATAAACAAATATTAAAAATAAATAAATATAAGAAAAATTATATAAAATTGTCCAAATAAATATATGTGCTAAAATGAAAAGTAAAAAGTCCCAATCCAAAGACTGAAAAGATGTTCAAATCCAATGTGCTCCAATCTCAACACAACGGAGCTGTATACAGAAATTTCAGTATATTCACAACACCCATGACATTCAACATATACTGCACTCACCAGATATATTGGACTCTCTAAAATTAAGAGTCATTTTTTTTTTAACAAGCTTTGTGGATATTACATATCCTCCATAATAGGGATTCTCACTGCTTAAGAACAAACTCCAACAAAGGGATCTCCCACACATATCGATAGGTGTAAAAAAAGAAAAGACTAATAGTGTAGTACTGCCAAAAGTTTTAATTATTAAAATCAAATGCATCATATGCACTCACATGCTTAACATGAAAAAAAACGCCTTTATGTCATTTCCCAAGACATAAAAATTGCTATCTGTCAATGAAGAGCTCCTATAGTGTGTACACTGGCAGCAATTCACATCAGACTCAGCAAAAGACGGCTCTGGAGCGCAGCATCCAGCATGCGCTCCTCTCACCGGATGTGATGTCACGGCGTAGCAACGGGAACCGGAAGTTATATATAATTATTTGTATCCATTATTATTTTTCTCTTTCTTTGTTTCTCCTTATATTTCACTTCGCTTTCCTTTTTCTTTTACTCCTTTCTTGTTGTTCTCTGAGATCACTATTTTTGATACAATGGTTTTATATGTTTTGTTACAATGTATTAATAGGCGTATCCCCAGGATTCAGGAGTGCTGATTAGGACAGGTGTTCTTTATTAACTAATACCTATATAAGACAGCACTTTTGTTGTTTTCTTTGTTATGATTGAGCATGAGATCATGTTTAACGCGTTAACAGGTCCTGTATTCATGTTCTGGTGTTTTCTGTGTCCTATGGATCAATAAATATACACTATATTCATCTATCCTCCGGGGTGCTGACCCTTCTTCCTATTGCAGTCCACTAAGAATCCCTCCACTCATCCTCCTGGTGCCTTAAAGGAACTGTAGTCTCTCACTGATCCAACACAATACCACTAGCCCCCCCTCAGAACTACATCTCCCAACATACCATATGCAGCTGTGCTTTTTCTCTTCTGTAAATCCAGAACCGCCCAATTGGGGGAAGAAGGGGACAGAGAAATAGAGAGAGATTGCGAGCAGGCATGTTGGAAACTTTCGGCTTTCAGTTGCTAATAGTTTAAAATTATTTAATGAGAACAACTTGCCAGCACCTGGCTACATACAGAACAACATTAAAAGAGGGCACACTAAGAATAAATTATGCCAAACTGGAAGGAATAATAGGGGTCACAGAATGCATAAAGGTAAAAAACATTAATGCTTTACAACCACTTTAACAATTTTTTGTTATTACTGGAGAGGTTGCTTAAGTAATAAAAAACTAACAAGAAACATTAATGTAAATTATCATTACCTATTTATTATGCTTACTATTTAATATACCTATTGTTGCTTAAATTTATATATAATGGATCCCTCAGAATTGCCCCATACATAATATTGATATGATTCAAAGCCCAGTATTGGAGCTTACATAAAATGACTGTGTACCATTAAAAATAAGTTTTAAAATATATAAAACACACATATAAAAAATTACCACACAATCATTCAATATACACTCACTGGCCATTTTATTAGGTACTCCTAACCTCCCCCTTTTGCCTTCAGAGCTGTCTTTATTCTTTGTGGCATAGATGCAACAAGGTGTTGGTAACATTCCTCAGAGATCTTAGTCCTTTATTGTCATAGGTTACTGTTGCCTTTCTCGAACCAGCCTGCCCATTCTCCTCTGACCTCTGACAGCAACAAGTCATTTTTGTCCACACAACTGCCGCTCACTGGATATTTCCTCTTTTTCAGACCACTCTCTGTAAACCCTAAAGATGTTTGTGCGTGAAAATCCCAATAGATCAGCAGTTTTTTAAGTACTCAGACGAGCCCGTCTGGCACCAACAACCATGCCACTTTCAAAGTCACTGCTCAAAATCCCATTTCTTCCCCATTCTGATGCTCAAATTTAACTTCAGCAAGTCGTCTTCGCCACGTCTAGATGCCTTAATGCATTGAGTTGCTGCCATGTGATTGGCTGAATAGCAATTTGTGTTACCAAGCAATATCTTAAATATACAAAATCTAAAATGCACCTGTTTGTATTTGAAGCAAGCATGTCAGATTGTTTTTGTACATGTATGATAAACATGTCTTCTACTTGGCAGCTAATGAAAACTGACATTACTCCCATGAGTTAGATTTTGGCAGCATCCAGCACTGGATAAACGTTGACATAGGTAGTAATAATCTGACCGGTTCCCTTTGACAAACATATAAAATATTGCAGATTCATCAATTATTGCCTGACATTGAGCCATGATAATTAAAACAATTAGGATGACACCTTGCTGTTTTATTACCTGACAAAGACTAAAGAAAATGTAGCTTATTAAGCAGATTTTCTTGGCCAGCTAAGACTAGGGCCACACTGCTGACAAGATAATTTTGCTATTGAGAGGCAGAGGGCAAAGGACTAGTCACCAGTATTGGTATAAACCACAATATACAATGCGTACATAAATATAAAGTGCAAAACAAATAAAGTGTACAACAACACATATCCACATGTGATTCCTAATTGTATAAACTTTTGACTTCTTGAGTGTATGAGAACTTCATGTATATTCTTCGGTTTCGTCCATTATCCATAAAGTGCAACAGTTCTTCCACAACAAAGTGCAATATTATATAACCCTTGTGAAATAAAGTGCTTCATGCAAATCCACCACTTACTGCTCCTGCGTGTACCACCACCACTACTGAGAACTCACCAGACAGCCATGACCTTCTCAATTAAGAGTTGGTCTATATGCGCCACTCCAGTATGTCACTCCACCATGTTCCTCATTAGTAATTTCACCAGAGGTGTCATGTATTAAAAGGGGAGAAGGAGACTCCAATAGTGTAAAATACCCTTTATTAAAACTTCACATCAGAAATATAAAACCATTGGTTAACCTGCTCACATTTCATAGTGCATTTGGCCCTGCACTTGGGTTTAAACACTCATTGTTATGCCCAGTTCACCCTGCCTCAGACCGCTCAACACTACAAGCATATCTCACCATTTCAGGTCACCAGATCGTAACTTCTTGTAGCTCTGCCTTGATGTATATTTCGTCATGATGACGTCTTCAGGAGGCATTACAGAAAGCTCCCAGTGTACTCCTTATATACCCTATTGATGAACCCTTTACATACTAATTGTCTTCCATGTGCACTGCTAATTATTTATACAATTGTTTATTATTACTTGTTGATAAGGGAAACAAGGTTGTTTGCATTAACAACTATCTGCCAATTTAATGTTAACATCTACATTAGTATTTCACCTTCCAATTCACCAAACAATTTACATTGATCAGTGTATGATATTAGACAAAGGTGAAATGAGATCTTTTACTAAGCGCATGTGAAACATACTTTTTTTAAAAACATATTATAACAAGTACATAATCGAGGAGACCCAGGAATTTAAAAGTTACTAGTAAAGCAGTTTAGGTCAATATCTATGTTAAAGCCTTCGGTTGTTAATGTGTCCAACATATATATCTATTTTGTTTCATTTTGGGATATCATTTGTTTCTTATTTTGTCCTCTCCAATGTCCTTCTATTTTATCAATGCCATAAAAATTCAGTAAACATGCATCCTTTCCATGGGATTCTTTGAAATGTCTGGATATTCTATGTTGGGTGTATCCTTTCCTTTCCCAATGTTATTCATATGCTCTCCTACTCTTTTCCCTAGCTCTCCAGTTGTTCTACCCACATATTGGAAGTGGCATGGGCACTCCAATAAATAAGTAATATGAATACTTTTGCATGATATCCATTAGTTAATTTGAAAACATCTATTATGAACATTAGACTGAAAATGAGTTCTTTTTCTATCTGTATGTTTGCTAGTTCTGCATGCTATGCACTTGACATTTATAACACCCCTTTACATTCATAAAATTGCTCCCTCTAAAGGGTGGATTTATGACGTTTTTTTTTTTACGCAGCACTTTACATATATATTGTACATTCACATCAGTCCCTTACCCTCAAGGGGTGTACATTCTAAGGTCCCTAACTAACATTCATATATACACATACTAGGGCCAATTTAGACAGGAGCCAATTAACCTACCACCATGTCTTTGGAGTGTGTGTTTTTATGATTTTCTCCCCTTTTTTATAATCCCCATTAAAGTCTGTAAAAAATGCATATTCCATTAATTTATTGTTGACTCGGGTATTTCTCCCCTGCAGCAACTGATTTCTACCTATTTTGCTTACATCTTCTTTAACCTTCAACAGGGTTTCTTTTTTGTAACCTTTTTTCACAAACTTATCAATCAAATCATTACTACATTCCTCAAAATCTTCTTTAGATCACAATTCCTTTTCATTCTTATCATCTGACTTTTAGGTATATTTCCCACGCACTTAGCATGATGGCAACTACTTGGCGGTAGGAAACTATTTCTGTCTGTCTCTTTAAAAATACGTTTAAGTTAGAATTTTATTGCCAGCTGTAAATACAGTCAGGTCCAGGAATTGTCTCCTTTCCCAACTCCATGTGGATGTGAAGGTCAATCCATATACAGTAATACCTCGGATTACGAATTTAATTCGTTCTGCGGGACTTTTCGTATAGCGAAAAATTTGTAAACCGAAATACCGTTTCCCATAGGAATGCATTGAAAACCAATTAATCCATTCTGGAGGTCAGAAAAAAGTAAAAAAAAAGTATTTTATCTGTTCAAAACTCTTTATAAAGTGCACTTTTTAAAGGCAAAAATACTGTACAGGGACAGGATTACTCAAGCAATAACATTTCAAACATCCAACTTCAACTTTTAAAGCATCACACATCAACTTTTAAAACATGGCAAATTTTTCAAAACAATTTCAACGCTTTTTGGAAGAGGAGGAGCAGGGCAACAGGGCAGCACTAACACAAGCAGGTTCTTCTTCAAGTCTAGGCTGTTTTAGTAGGAACCTTTCCATTGTCTGCTGCCTCCGGCACCTTTTAAGCAGCCCTCGGAATGGGGACATGATGTCGGTGTCAAAACTGTTCACAAGTCTCTGGGCTAGAGCCTTATCTGGGTGGTGCTGCTGTACAAAAGTCTGTAGGTTTACCCACAGTTGGCATGCCTCCTTGAGTTCCCTGGAAGAGAGCTGTTCCTCACTTGTTTCCTCCTCCTCCATCGTCTCCTTCTGCAGTTCCACCAGGTCCTCAGTGGTTAGCTCACGGTTGTGTCCCTCCTCCCCAAGCTCGCAGACATCCTCCTCAGTCACCTCCAGCCCCATTGGTCCTCCCCAAGGAAACAATCTCCTCTAACACTGTTGACTCTGGTGCAGGTGCAGAAGCATCAGAATCCGGTGTCACAACACAATCACAATCTGGCCACAGGTTGCTCCAAGCAGAATTTAGGATTCTATGGCTGACCCCGGCCAAGGCAATGGTGCTAATCTGCAGACAGCTCACGAAGTTAAAATATCTCTCCAAAATTCATGGAGTGTGAGGCTCGCAGACATCCTCCTCAGTCACCTCCAGCCCCATTGGTCCTCCCCAAGGAAATAATCTCCTCCAACACTGTTGACTCTGGTGCAGGTGCAGAAGCATCAGAATCCGTGTCACAACACAATCTGGCCACAGGTTGCTCCAAGCAGAATTTAGGATTCTATGGCTGACCCCGGCCCAGGCAATGGTGCTAATCTGCAGACAGCTCACGAAGTTAAAATTATCTCTCCAAAATTCATGGAGTGTGAGGCTTGATCGATCTGTCATCTCAAAGCATCGCCGGAAAAGCTCCCTTGTGTAGAGTTGTTTAAAATTGGAGATGACCTGCTGGTCCATTGGCTGGAGTAGTGGGGTGGTGTTAGGCGGAAGGAACACGACTGTGATGAAGTTAAAGTCCTCCTTCCTCGAGGCCTGGAGGATGAGCAGGAGCATTGTCCATGAGCAGCATGGCCTTGAGTGGCAGGTTATTGTTCGCAAGGTACTGCTTGACAGCAGGACCAAAAGCAAGATTGACCCACTGCACAAACAAGAGGCATGTGACCCAAGCCTTTGGGTTGGACTGCCACAAAATGCTCAACTGCTCCTTCTTCACCTTGTGTTTCTTAAAGGCCCATGGGTTCTCTGAGTGGTAGACAAGCAGGGGCTTGATCTTAAGGTCCCCACTGGCATTGATGTATAACAGGAGGGTGAGACAGTCCTTCATCGGCTTGTGGCCAGGCAATGAGGTCTCCTCTTCCATGATGAAGGTACCCTTTGGCATCCTCTTTCAGAAGGGCCCAGTCTCGTTGCAGTTGAAGACCTGATGAAGAAGGTAGCCCTCTGAAACCATGATCTCTAGGAACTCAGTAGCAAATTCCTCAGCTGCAGCAACATCAGAACTTGTGGATGCCAGATCTGGTCTTGAACCTTTCAAACTACCTCCTGCTTGCCTTGAAGCCTTCTGCATTGGCTGACATTCCTGGCTGTTGGTCGAGGAGGTCAGTGTGTAAGGCCTTGGCTTTTTCGCAGATGATCACCTCGGTCACTGTGTCCCCTGCACGCTTGCTTCTCTTCAATCCAGAGCAGGACCAACTTTTCGACCTCCTCCAGAACAGGTGGCCATTACTTGGAGGCCCTGGTGACTCCCTTGGCTGCATCTCTCCCAGTTATCTTCTCTTTTATCTTTAGGATGGTACCAATTGTTGATGCACTCCTTCCATATTCTTTGGCGACGTCAGTCAATCGCATTCCTCCTTAATGCTTCCTGACGATTTCTTTCTTGACCTCAAGCAGAATCATCTCCTTCTTCCTCTTCCCAGCTTCCACTGCTTTCTTGGGTACCATGACACCACAGTCACAAATAACAAAAAATGCTTTACACCCACACCCAGGCTCTCAATGCTCCAGTCCATGAGCCCCAAGTCTAGCCACACAAGATACAGTACTGTACAGTAATGAAAACCCAAAAAATCTGTCCACATGAGCTGGCATGGAAACCACACTCGACAATGCAAAACACACAGTAGCAGGCATGCACAGCACATGAGCTGGCATGGAAACCACCCCACAATGCAAAACACAAGGTAGCAGGCATGCACAGCACATGAGCTGGCATGGAAACCAACTCACAATGCAGAACACACAGTAAAAGGCATGCAAACAACAAAGCTCACCTCCCTACCTTTGCACAGACTCTAGCATGCACGGTGCTATAAACCTCCCAGGTGCAACACCGACTCCACCATGCACGGTGCTACTGTATAAACCTCCCAGGGGCAACACAGACTCCAGCATGCACGGTACTATAAACCTCCCAGGCACAATGCATCCTGGGGAAACTTGCTTCATATTGCGGTAAAAATTCATAAACCGAGGCATTATTGTCAATGGATTTTCATTCATATACAGAAAATTCCATAAACCGAGGTGTTCGTAAACCAAGGTACCACTGTATGTTATTGTTAATCTCATCTATAAACTTTTTGAGTGATGCCTCATCACCTCTCCATATCACCATCCCGTCATCAATGAACAGCCTGCAAAGAACGAATTGTTTCTGCATATTCTTAAAAATATCCTCAGATACCCACTTGGCCACCATCACAACACCTTTTACTTGGGCATAGTACTTGTTATTATACCAAAAACATGTATTCCTCATTGCTAAATCCAAACAGTCAAGGACGAACCTCTTCTGGTCTTTCCTCATTGTTTCATCACTCTCCATTGCCCATTTGACTGCTTCAATTCCATCTTGCTGCTTTATGCTTGTATACAGACTATTAACATCTATTGTTGCCATAATGTAATTGTCCTCCCAGGTGACGTCCTTCAACATTTTTTATTAAAACCCCACTATCCTTCAGATAGGTAGGCTGTTGCATTACTTTTTCTTGGAGAAAACAATCTATATATTCACCCATCCTGCTGAAAGTGGGAATCTGCAGATATTTTTAAGAATAGGCAGAAAGAGTTGGTCTATTACAGGCGGTTCATTGATGACGTGATGGTGATGTGGAGAGGTGATGAGGCATCACTCAAAATGTTTATAGAGGAGATTAACAATAACATGTATGGATTGACCTTCACATCCACATGGAGTAGGGAAAGGAGAGAATTCCTGGACCTGACTGCATTTACAGCTAGCAATAAAATTCTAACTAAAACGTATGTAAAAGAGACAGACAGAAACAGTTTCCTACCACCAAGTAGTTGCCATCATCCTAAGTGGGTGGGAAATATCTGTATTGATCTATAAGATGAACACTATACATCTAACTTAATATTTTCAAGAAAATGTACAGTGAAAAGGAGATTAGTCATGGCGCTAGACAAAATTTAAGTGAAGCTTTAGTCATAAAATTAAGTCCAGCTAGATCACTTTAGACCGGCCCCTTTTGCAGGTATAGCTATGTAAAACATTAACAATAAGTGCCAATGCGGTTTAAAATCCAGTAATACTCTGTCTCACCATCGCCTCTACACATGCTTAGTTGCTCTCTATTTTTCAGCACCACTAGAGGCTAATTTGATGACAACCTAAAGATTTAATGCTGTTTAGGGGCTCTGGGCTTCAGCAAAATCGTAGCCTCCAGCCAGAAGAAACAGGAGCAAGCGTGGACACAATTTACAGAATGCTAATTTTGGTATCATTTTGGTAGCATAATTAATGTTGTGGAATGTATGTTTCTTGCTAAAGAACATTATTTTTTATTAAGTTGTTATGAGTAAAGTTCCACTTTAAGTTTCTCTATGTAGCTGTTATGCAGTTATGAGTCACACAACAAAATTCTCCTATAAACTGTTACTAAAAGTTAATTCAGTTTAACTGCTTCCTGACTGCCCTATAGCAGAAATACTGCTACAGGGCAGCACAGGTGTGCAAAATCATGTGTATATATGTGGTTCGCATTCCTGCGGTACTCGCGGCTCGGGGGCGAGCGCACACCCCCGCCGACTTGCGGGTGCTGTGATTTGATCCCCAAGGGATCAATCATCCGATTTAGGCCAGTGATGTTCAGCCTAAATCGTATGATCAATCCCTGTCCTATCAGGGTTCTTCCTGTACCTGTGTTTACACTTACACAGGTACAGGAAATTATGAAATCTTCTCTCTCTGGAAACATTCCATCCCAGAGAGAGAAGAAAGAAGACACAGTGAGTACAAGCAACACACTTGCACACAGAATATTTTAGGACACATTTAACCCCTTGATTGCCCCCCAGTTAACCCTCTCACTGCCCTGTCACCAGTGTCATTAGTACACTGTACAGATTTTTCGAAAGTCACTGGCGACTTCAGATAGCGTTAGCATCAGTTAGCATCCCTCTGAGATAGCGTCAGATTGTCATTACACCAGTCATCACATTTAACTTCTTGATTGCCAGGAACACGGTCACATACACAATAAACCTCCACTGCTAGTGTAGTGTCTGAACGGATCAATATCTTTGATCAGATCAGCACTATACCAGCGTTCACATTAGTATAGTGTCCCCCAAAAATGCAGCGTTAGCAGGATCATCCCCGTAACCTGCCAGCACCTGCGTTTAGCCCCTACGCTTCCCCCCCCCCCCCTCTCCCCCAGCAAGTGCAGTGTCAGTAGATCACTATCACTTGATACATTACACACAAAACCACAGTGTTCGCAGAATCAGGCCTGATCTCTGTTACCACTTGCTGGTAAATTTTTTTGTAGCGGTTCAAGCAGTCCCTGACAGTCAGGTGCTCTTTTTCCCATGAGTCGCACTAGGTACCTATAAATGTAGTGGCCAAAATGTCAATTGAAAGGTATTCTAGTGAAGAGGCCTGCAGGATTCTGAGCATTTCAAATGAGAGCGAAGAGGAAGACTCACTGACACAATCAACCTCTGAATACGAACCAGTAGACAGCAACGGCACCCTGACAGATAGCTCAGATGATGGAGTAGAGGTCCCCGCTAAGATTAGGTGTACCCGACCCCGTTCCCAGGTTTCTGAGATGTTACAATCGCATGATGATTCTCATATGCAGCAGAGTGCCAGTACTAGTGCCGCTCTACCTTTTGATGAACTGGTCGAGCACCAGTGGCCTAGTACATCCTGGTCTTATACATACCAGCACTGCAATGATGTGGCAAGTCCCATAAGTGCAGTACAAGCTGGTGCAGTGGCGAGCACAAGTAGTGTCCCGCAGCCACCAAGAATTTGCACACAGGCCCGTAGAGCAACTAGTATCCTTCCGGATGTGCTTGCAAATGCTGATTGGCAGCCTACAAATTCTGCAGTACAACAGTTTATCACCCCCAACCCAAATTCAAACATTGCCAGACCATTCGCATGGAAACCCATTACGGTTTCCAAATTTAAATTTTGTTTGGGCCTAACCCTCAACATGGGCATTACTAAAAAAAATTAGTTGTGGTTGTATTGGTCCACAGACCCGATTCATCATATGCTGCCATGGCCAGGTATAGATATGAGAATATAATGCCTTTGATGTGTTTCAACGACAATACAGTCTGTCGTCCTTGGGGTGACCCTGAATTTGACTGGCTCCACAAAATTTGGCCCCTCGTAAATCACCTTAACCAAAAATTTGCAGATTTCTATACTCCCCAGCAATACATCTGCATTGATGAGTCCCTCATTCATTTTTCTGGCCGCCTTGCATTCAAACAATTTCTCCCCAGCAAGCGTGCCAGATATGAGGTCAAGATGCATAAGACCTGTGAGAGGGCAACAGGCTATACTTATAAGTTTCAGATTTACGACGATAAAGATAGTCACGTGGAGCCCCCCCGAATGCCGAGTT